AGATCAGATAGATATATACTTGTTTAAATGAGTTTTTATTTATTAATTTTTTTTAATAAAACATTTTTCCTCTGCCCATCCTATAAAATGCAACCAGTATTAAATGAGTAAATATGACAGATGTTTGTGTTTTTCAGAGGGGACTCCGTTCAGCTGGTGGCTTGGTGGCCGCGCTCCAGGCCGTGTGCAGACTTATTGGGGTGGAGCTCATCCAGGCAGCCAGCAGTGCGCCTGTGGCCTCCATGGCGACTGTGTGGACCCACAGCACTACTGCAATTGTGACGCAGACATCATGGAGTGGTACTGACTACTATAGATTTATACAGTCACATCAAACAGTTTGACGTGAAGAAAACACTTTAGAAATGGGTTTACAAAATTAAAATTAAGAAATCTAATTTCTGGTGAGGTTTAAATCAGGGCAACCTCCCATTTACCGATTATGATTGACTATAACACCCACTGCCTTATCATAATATATCAGGTGCATATGGTGACAGAAATGTCACAAAATTTTATGAAGGTCAACCCTGTTTAACCTCATAAAATCTTCAAAAATTAGGTTCTAACAGCTTAAAGTCTAACAATTTCACAATACAGAAAAGTTTCTACAAGAAGATGATATTCAAAACAAATATCAACCTTCCCAGGGATGTCGGTCTAAGCAAATTAACCAGACAGCAGACTCAAGGGATATACAGCAGAAACTTGCTACAGTTGATGAGAAAGTTCATGCCTGTACACTGTTGATGATCACAATCCACTATGACTGGTTAGGGGCTCATCTGCTTAACTGTTTCTATCCTAGATAGAGCTACCTGTAGATTTAGTTAAACCTTTACCTTCTCTAACACAGAAACTGTTTTAGATCAGTGCTCTTGTATGTCTCCTTCTATCACCTTAAACCTCCAGTCAGCATCGGCAGAATGCAGTTCACACCGAGCCTAGTCCTGCTTGGGGTTTTTTCCTGTTAAAAGGGTGTTTTTCCTCTCCACTGCTGCCACGTGCATGCTGTGTGTGAAGGATTGCTGTAGAATCGTATACACATTTAAGTGAAGGAATGATTTAGAAGAAAATGTTGCATTCTGCGTTTTTTCCCTATTTCTAATCTTCTCTCAGGTAAGAACACATTTTACGACTGCTACAGACTTGACGTAGGAGTCTTGTGCAATCAGTCAGCTGTTACTTAAACCTTTTTCACTGAGAGACTACATTTTTTTTTACTTAGAAGCATTTATCCATTTTTAGGCTGCATTATTATAAGCTGTGCAACTCTGCAATTATAAATTACATTTTATTTGCTGATGACAGAAGTGCTGTTCACCACACTTACAGCTGGCATGTCGCTATCCAGGGGACACTGATTTAATTTGCTGTTATTTTGTTGACACAAAGAACAGTCAGAGATCCAGCTATTGTTGGAACAGAAAATGGAAAGTTCAGCAAAGCTCCTAATGGTGAGACTTGCATTCATTTCACTCCATGGCAGCTTCTTGGCTTTGTTATTGCACTAAATGTGAAATATTTGGGTTTGGGTCACTCTGACCTCGTTAAATTAGAGTTTATTTTTGTGCATTGTGAGAGAAATGGAGAGTGTGATAAAGGGATGGCAGACTTGGTTTGCAGATATACAGTAAATATGTGTATTAAGAGGAGATTTGGCAGAACGTTGTCACGTTGGTTGATCTTATCCATCCATTTTCCATCACATTTATCCCAAGCAGAGCTGGTGCCTATATCCAGTTGTCTACTGGCGAGAGGCAGGGTACACCCTGGACAGGTCACAACTCCATCGCAGGGCAACACAGAGACAAACATGACAAACAACCATTCACTCTCAATGAGGAGAATTTAGAGGAGCCAATTAACCTAACAGTCATGTTTTTAGACTGTGGGAGGAAGCCAGAGTACCCAGAGAGAACCCACGCATGCTCAGGGAGAACATGCAAACTCAATGCAGAAGAACCCTGGGCTTGAAGTTGAACCCAGAACCATCCAGCTGCAAGGCAGCAGTGTTACCCACTACTCCACTGAGCAGCTGTTGATGTTTTTTCATCAGTAGATTGACAGGAAAGGGGGTAAGAGAGAGGGGGAGAGACATGTGGCAAAGGACCGCAGTTCGGATTCGAACCCGGGTCGCCGGCGTCGAGGACTAAGGCTTCAGTACATGGCTTCGTACATGCATTTTTCTTTTTATATTATTTTTATCCTTTTACTTTATTTTTACTTCTGTAAAAGTGCAATCAAAGCATTCAGAGCTTGTGTGACGTATTCCCCGCTGCTTTGCTTTTTACTGCTCCTTTAATTCTGCTGCTCAGCCCTCAGTCAGTAGAGCCTCAATCTGTGAACTTTTAAAGTTTTTCTTCTCCATCTTCAATGCCACCTGCCTGTTCACTCACAGAGGAGTGGGATTCATACCCTTATATGGAAAAATCGGATTATAATCATTTGTAATTACGCAGCTTTACATTCCTCAGGAATGCATGCTCGCTATCGCACAGGTTGACTGTATACAAGAATAATTTACGATAATTTACTGTAGTTAATAACGTTTGTTGAATTTTATGTGTTGCCTTTGTAAAAGCCCATGGTAGGAGAAAGAAAAAAAGAAGAGAAGTCCACGATAAGAATATGAAAATGTTGTTGCATGAGGCCCAATGATTCGATGCAATCAGCTGGTTTTCCTTAGATAGAAAACTTTGAACCAATCTGACTGTGATCGGATTAAATTGTCTCTATAAAGTGTCTTCAGATGATGAATTGTTGCTATATTGAAAAACTTTATTGAATTAAAATGTTTTGTACTTGGAAAGAAGAACAGCAAAAGCATTACAAGACTAACTTGCTGTTTTTTGTCATGCACCTGCTGCAGTAAAAATGTTCATTTGGTACCGTAATTGGCTAAATCCAAAAAGATTGGCAGGAACTATGTGTAAACTTCCATGCAATCAGCTATGAACAATCTGAATGTTGCTTCTTTTCCTTAACAGATTCAATGGGAGCAGGAAAAGAATTTGTTGAACTAGATTTTATAACGCTAGATTATCAAACTAGTTTGCCATCATTTATAAGCATTGTGTTAGATCAATACTAAAGCTGTATGAACACCAAAAATCCCCAAATTGCTCACAAAAAAAAAGTCAGATTTTTTTGTAAGCATTTAATTTTCTTTAAGAAAATCAAGCTGCACCTCAACACGTGCATAAAAGCTGCCGCCTCATGGACTGCCCTCTACAGTACACCATGAAAGCTCAATGAAAAAAGATTCAGAACTAATAATATGTAAATGAGTCAGCTGAACAATTTTAATATGTGGTTACCAATGACAACCATGGAGACCATGACATTTTCCCATCAAGTTTTTGTTTTTTTCCACAGAGAAAGCCATGAAAATGTTTCAGTATCAGACCCTGTTTTATTTTATTAGCCGAAGTTATCCCTTTGAGATGCTCTAGGATAACTTCCAATGCTTAGCAATATCAACACCATTGTTCGTTTGACTAGTAAGTCAAATGTGGATTCTATTTTGTTCTAAAACTACTGTTAAAGACCAAGCAAAACTTCTAACGACAGCAGCTTCAGGGTCTAAGGGTGCAGCTTGCCACACAGAAATGATGAATGGTCATCTAAGACACATGTCTAAATCAGGCTGCAGTTATATGAGCAGTCAGCCAAAGTTAACAAGCAGAAAATAAACAGGCCTCTCTCCAAATCTGAACCCTTAACCTCCCTCTGCTTCACATGAGTGATCGGCAACGCAAGATTTGCAACTCTAGCAGTTCAGGAAACAGCAAATCAGCTTCAATGAGCTGACAGGAGGCAAAACCAATACATGTTTTAATCTCTAATTATCTTGTTATCACCCATCCCCCCATGCCTGGCTTCCCCTGACAATTCTCTGCACAGTTTCTTTTTTTCCCCCCAGAACTACTGCTTCTTCGCCTCAGTTGTTTTTTTTAGTTTTTTATCACACCCCAAATATCCTCTACATCTTGATTATTTTCCTCTGGTTGTTTTTTCTTGCAGAGTATTTCCTCTGCAAGAATGACAGCATATTCAAGATATATATTGCAAGGAATAAACAGGTGTTGTTTTATCCATGGAGGAAAGTTTGGGTTCTTGCTGGCAGGATGATGAAGTAATTTATTTATTCAGTAGGTCATAAAGAGTTGCATCCACATGTTGCAATGTTTGCATCAACCAACTGTTACTGCATAAATGTGTTGTAAATCCATGTGAAATTTCCAATTAACATTAAAGGAAAAGCTTTGATGTAAAATTGTCTGTTATTTAAATTTTTGTTTTCTCTTTTGGATCAAACTGTTTTAACTTACCTTGTTCATCATACGCTTTAATGCTTTTTTTTGTTTTGCTTTCCAGGACTGAGGACTCAGGCCTCATTACCCACAAGGAACACCTGCCCATCAGATCGCTGGTAGCTGGAGACATTCAGAGGCCGGGTTCAGAGGCAGCATATAGAGTGGGACCACTCCGTTGCTTCGGAGACAGTAAGTTCCTCTAAATCAGCGATTTTCAAAGCCTTTCTCCTGAGACATTCACCTTCTTGTGTTTGCACACAAAAAAAGCATAGTCCAACAAGACGAACAAACATTTACCTGCTTCTAAGTGTGGTAGTGTAGGAGGAAGCTGGAGCACCCAGAGAGAACCCACATATGCACAGGGAGAACATACAAACTCCATACAGGAATCAGAATCAAAATCAGAAATACTTAATAATCCCAGAGGGAAATTTCTTTTTTTACACGCTCCAGTTACAGTTTTATATAATATATACACACATCCAACTATACAATATAATAAAGATAAAAAGATAAGTATAAAAATAAAAAACAAAAAAAATAAAATATATACACATATAGCTCTTCTGTATATATATATCTGTATGTATATATATGCATATGTAAAAACTAAATCCAGATAAAGTGAAAATCCAAGTAAAGTGATATGTGGCGTGCAAAAATAGTGCATAAATGTCAATTACGGGGGGAGGGGGCTGAATCACTTGAGGGAGGCGTTATAGAGATTGATGACCACAGGTAGGAATGATTGTGGCACTCTGTGGAAGACCCTAGCGTTCAAAGCCTGGTTCCTTCCTTTTACACAGTAGCAGCAGCTTTTACTCCATGCAGACCAAAAGTTTACACTTTCTTTAAAAAATGTCTGTTTGTCTCAGTAAATCACTCTAATCTTTGATGATTAAGTAATATGTGCTATAATTCTAGATGCTGGTATTGATGTTTTAGTCATTCAGAATTTGCACATTTCCAGTGCTTATGTAGCACTTAGTAGGATTAAATGGAGTTCTTCTTATTTCATTAAGATGTTTCTCATCTCATTAAATAAAAAAACCTGAACCAGGAGCTGGTATTGCAGGCTTACAAAGATCTAAACGACCCCATTCCTAAGGGAACTCAACGCTAATTCTGACGTTTTGAATTGGAAAAGCTTTCTGGATGGGAAGCAAAACATCTTCAAACTTGGAAAACAAAGTCCAGTGGGTTGTTTTTTATGAACTTTTTTTGGAATTGCATGTAAAACTATTCAAGAAACATCAGAAACTGGCTTTTCTTCTACTTAATTCTTCTACATAAGCAATAGTGCTTTAATTGTTTACTTAAAGTTTTTAACTCTTAAAGCCTCAGCAGATAAATTACCGATCTTTACACATAAAACAGATCATAAATTAATAATAATAGTAAAAAAGAACATCATTAAAGAAATTAAAGTACATATGATGATTTAACAACAGCACTAGATTAACATATTTCTATAGTTTTATTTCACATGCAATAATAATCGTATAAATATATATTTTATGTTTTATAAAAACGTCTCAGATAGCAAAGTGACATTATGTTATAAAGGGCTCTGCTTTCAATTAGTTGCATACAAAAGGAGTAAAATAAAAATAATTGTATTTTTCATAATCAGACCCAGATAAAAGAAGTGAAATAAAAAAGGGTAAATACAAAATATGAAAATATATTTCAACACTTTTAATTATTATTTGCTGTTATGATTGTAGCAAAACCAATGTGACAATCTTTTCTTCAGCCTCATAAAACACCATTCCACTACCACAACTTCTGAGAATCATTGCTGTAAATTATCCAATACTTCTGTTGATATTTTCTCAGTACTGTTGAGATTTAAGGCTAAAGCAGATTCAACTAGATACACATCTTACAAGCAATTTATTTGATTTGATTTATTTTACAAGGACAGTGTGCATTAATAAGCATTCCTGCAAATGCACTAGAATTAGCCAAAAGGCTACTTTTCATCTGTTGTCCCTGGACAGATCTTAAAATTGTCTACCTAAAAAAAAAATAATTGAAAGATTAAAGTATTATCCGTACAGGGTGTTTAGTTTATATTTTTGTTGAACTTGTTTCTGTACAAATAACAAAACAATTACAGTGACGTCAATCAGTTACAGTGATTTTCAAGCAGGTGACTCAGAGTTGTTCTATAGTAGGTATCACCAAAGTATGTTGTTGATTCAGACTCTTTCTGTAAGAAAAGACTTTATCCCACTGTGTTGCAAACATAACAAATAGGAAGCAGCAGGCAGACAGCAAGCAGCAGAAAGTTCAGTATAATTAACTACAGTGAAATTTCTAAACAGAAAAACATGATTTAAAATGATTGAATAAAATATTTTATCATAAGTCTATAGGGAAAGGGGTCTAAAACATTTTAGACAAACAATCAAAGTGTCTTTTATTTGAAAGTATAAGATTAACATTTGGTCTGATTCAGCAATATTAAGACAGGCATGTTAGTTTTTTCTTCTGCCATACTTTCTAATTGATTGAATCATTTCAATCATTTTAGCATCACTGGTGTCTTTCGGTTTTTTATTTTTATTTTGATAGAAGCTATTTTTTCTACCTTTCCACAGAAAATTTCTGGAATACAGCATTTTTTGAGAAGGAGACATCATACCTCCACTTCCCCACCTTTCACGGAGAGCTAAGTGCAGACATCTCCTTCCTTTTCAAGACTACTGCGTCTTCTGGAGTTTTCCTGGAAAATCTTGGCATCAAAGACTTTATTCGAATTGAACTGAGCTGTAAGTAGAACCTGGACTTTAAAACCAAAACCTTTAGAACATATATGAGTAATTTTCCTTCTATTTCTTGTGGGTTATTTAGAGTCACGTTTAATGTCAGTTTATAGTCAGGATGGGTTTTCCTAGCTGATGTTACTGATGCATCAATATCAACCCTTTAATTTATCAACCTTTAAACATCAGTAAATTGTTTGTGATTTCTGTTGTCTGTAAAAAAATATAATTTTATCTGCAGTCTCCTAAATCTTTTCTCTTTGATAGGAAAAACAAATAGAGTGCAGCAGACATCGAGGAGGAAGTAAATAAAGACCTCAACCACAGAGGAACTGTCCATTTTGCTGAAACAGGGCACAAAAAATATGCAAACGCTTTTGCCATTTACTTAATCATATTTAGTTACTTTAACACAATTGTTTATGTCCTACCCTGCTAACATGAAACAATTGTGTTAAATTAACTAAATATGATTAAGTAAATGGCAAAAGCGTTTGCATATTTTTTGTGCCCTGTTTCAGCAAAATGGACAGTTCCTCTGTGGTTGAGGTCTTTATTTA